AAACGGTGTCTATTTATAAGTCTAGGAGAACGCTTTAGGCTTCAACAGTTCTCTCCTTCGAGCAAACATGCGCAAATTTCCGGACAGTTTATAGTAACGTTCCATCCCATTCCATTCATTGCATAAAAATAAACATTAAATGAATAATTTGGCATCCAGCTGACTAAATGATTCATGGAACATCTCATCCGAGACAACAGTGTTGTTTCAGCTCCGTTGAGTTTCCCAACAGATCTAGCCAAACCTAGCTGATCCTATATTTTTCTATCAGCTGTAAGTTCTAACGTAGAAAATAATGTCACAAAAATATTGAATAATTGTACCCCTCATTCGATAAAAATTATGTTCACCTTTTTATCTTGTGAAATCTTTAACATAATATTTTTAATTGGCCTTTTTGACGACAATTGGCTAAAAAGTCTTTAAGATTATCATCACAGGATGGCATGATAAATAAGTAAATAACATAAATAAATAAATAGACAAAAATAAGAGAGAAAAAGCAAAATTAATTAAATGAAACGTAATAGTGATAAAACGTTAAATTGATCTAAAATCTGTCATTCAGCGCCACTGGAAAAAGGAAGAGGATAGGGGAGTATTTCTTAGCACAAATCACGTTATTGATTTAGCAATGCAGCTTAATTTCAGATGCTTTAAGGATGATACTAACTTGTGTTATAGATGGAGGAGTAGCACAGAAACACTTCTAGATGAGGAGATAAGGAAAAAAAACTGCTGATTACCAATACTATGCACAAACAAACCTGTAACTGCAGTTTCGTTATTTATGAATTAACCTTAAGTAGTGAATTAATTCTTAGGATTTCTTGTGCGAGTAGTGTTCCTAAAAAAGAAAGAAAGAAAGAAAGAAAGAAGGTAAGAAAGACAGGTAGTTTAGGTAAGGGACAACCTGAAACTATTTGGTTGAATTGATAGTAAAAGTGGTTGTCCTAATTTCTAATTGGAGAGATCACACCGCAACATGAGTTTAGAACGGCAGTTATGGGAAGTTTTGTTGGATTAATTTGATTACACGCTTTAGGTCTTATTTTTTTTTTCTTTCCACTGATTTAGCGTTAGGTTAAGTGTTTTCACACTTTCGCTTCAGTCTGACATTTGCTTGGTGTGTGAGGGCACAGAGACGTGTATGGACCGTGTGTTTGACTGTGTTTGTCTTGTTTGTTTGTTTATTTATCTATATGGGCGGGGCTGAGCCTTGAGAAACATCAACAAAGCCATTGGGCTATTCTGAGTAAATTGACCAATTCAACTTCAGGATCCTGAAACAATTTGGCTATAACCTCTAATTGATGAAGGACATCTTAAGAATTCATTGTACAAGGCTTCCTCTCCAGTGTTGCCGGAACTGTTATAAAACCCTTGCATGGTTGTATATTTTAGTTTGATCATTTATACTCATTGAATTATTGTTGTTTGCTTTGTGTTTTAATTTCTTTGTAATTTTTCTCTGTGACACAGGTGGAGATGCTGGTGGCGAAGTGGATCCCACTCATTTCTTTCTCCCACACACATTCTTACTCTCTCCCTCTCTCTCTGTGTATGTGCATGTGTATGTGTTTGTGTGTCTGTGTGTGTCCATGTCGTGATGTCACTGTACCTTTAATTGCGCTTGCTGTTCGTAACTGTATGTGTCTGATGTTGAAGGTATCAGAGGCTAGGGTCAGTAAGAGCTAGGACATTTTTGTGCATAACCTTTAATCCCTAGGCGATCGGTTCGGGGAACTTCTGGTCCGGCCGGAGTGTGACTCTTCATACCAACTATCTGCCAAAGCTCAATTGGACTGCACAAGTCGAGAAAGCCTTCATTGGACCAAAACCACGCACACGAAGATACTCCGCCTTCGGTGCCAGGCGTCGTCTGGGTCCTGCTGAAGGTCACCAAAAGAAAGTGGACGGAACCAAGGTGGACCGGGCCATACAGGATCACGGAGAGGACGTCACACGCTGTCTGGCTGGACGGGAGGAGCCTAACCTGGAAGAGAAGCAGCCGACATCTGCCTGACCAGAAAAAGTACCCAAGGACCAGGACGAGAAGCAGCTGACATCTGCCTAACCAGAAAAAGGATCCAAAAGCCAGGAAGAGAAGTAGCTGACTGCAGTAGCATGCCAAGCTGCCACCACATCCTGCAGGACGAGAATCATGACATCATCACCCCCTGCAGCTGCCTGGAGCCAGTGAAGGGTCCTCAACAGGGGGAAGAAGTAACCACCCTATGAACATTCTACAAGGGTTGTATTTAACACCCTCATTTATTTTACAAGGGTAATATTTTACACCCTCCACCTGCTGACCCAATTATCCAGATGCCCTTGTTACTAGCCAATCCTAACATCTATTTGGGAGGGGAACCCTCTGATGACAGTGAAGACTCTCATGATGAAGAAGATGATGTTAGAGTGTGAGAATGTTCAGTGATTTATGTAACAATCCCTTCACCTGTTCATTTCTATGAGCTTTTTGATTGTGTTGTTTTTATTTTTTGATCATTGATGTCCTAGGCATGCCCACTCTGTGCCAAAAGGCGTTCGCCTCAAAATGAGGGGACATGGGGGAATTTTCCCTATTTGACGTACATAATTAGGGTTTTTCGCCCTCATACGGTGAGCATGCGATCCGTTCATGTTGTAAAATGTTCAGTCATAAATATGATCATGTTTTTTTGTATTAGTTTACTGCTAGAAATGTGAGAAAATGTAATCTGATTGATTGTTTGTATTGGTGTTTTAAAACTCTGCTTATTATATTCTTTTTGATGGAATTTGGGGTTGTTGTTGTTTTGATTTCCTACATCTTTGTTGAACTCTTAAAAGAGTTCAAAAGGGGGATTGAAAATATATGTAACTCTCATATAAGCTCTTTTATTATTCATTCTTACATGCTACTCTTTTTATTATGGGATCATGTTATACTGTTAAAGGCCTCTCTGTGTTTCTCTCCTGCACAAGCTCTTAAAACAGCTGCAGGAACTCCAAAAGGGAGATGTTTCTGCTCATCTTATAATTACAAGTTCTTGTGACATGTTAGATCCTGCCTAACAAGGCAATATATATATATTTACCTTATAAGCTCATTATTCTATGCTATGGAAACTCACCTAGATACTCAAGGCCTCCACACAAAGATTAATAGCTGTGTATCTTTTCCTGCACCAGAGAAAGGAGTGTACACATTCCATCTCCACTCAGTGCCTCTCCGCACCGTGAATGTATCTTCTCCTGTCATAAATGTATCACGATGTTCCTGGTACTTTCAAGGATGAATGTTCTAGACTGTCCGCTAACAAGGCTGTTATTTTCACCTGTCATAATCATTGACGTATGTACATGGCAAACTGCGTATGTAACATTCCTGTAATCTTCAATAAAAATCAGCCGTTTTCAGCAGAACGGCGAGAGTCTGTCCGAAGCATCTGGCAAGAGCAGGTCGCGGGACTTGCTGCAGAACAGCTCTCCCCTCTCGAGCGGCGAAACAGTGAATGGACTTCTGATCATTTGTCTCCTCGTTCTGTCAACTTTAAAGGTGTTTAACTCCATCTACTCTGTACCCGTGCTTGGTCTAACGGAAGAGAGACCAACAACTTGCTGCGTTGTGTAGCTGATGTTGGAGACACACAGGCTGCCATGGTGACCTTTTAACAGATCTAAGAAAAAAATGTAATAAAAGAATGAAACTTAAAAACTCCCAGACCTCATTTCATATTTACTAATCAGCTATGGCTGATTTATTGTTTGGATCACAGTGAGTTACATTAATTTTAATATATGTTTATTTCTATTACACATACTTTTTAACTGTTATTTTCACATGACTGTTATCAGGCTGTCTTGTTCTGGTTCTCATGATAATAATTCTGTTTCTTCCAGTAAGTTATCTTGTGCTTACTTCATCTGTATAATGTCTCTTTACTTTTGGTGAATTTTAATGAGTACTGAATAATGGCTAGTTGGCTGTACAAGATACAAACTAGGATTTTATTTTGGAAATATATGAAATGGATTTAGCCTGCTAATTTATCTCAAATACTAATAACTACCGTATTTTCCGGACTATAAATCACACTTTTTTTCATAGTCTGGCCGGTCCTGCTACTCCGGAGCGACTTATATAACAAAATGTGTAGGCTACACCTCACTGCTGCGGGCCGACTCCGACCATGCTCCGACCTAAGAATGAGTTACCCTGTCCCGCTGGGAGGGTTTCAAACACCGCCTTCCTCTGCTGGAGACCGTGGCGCGCTGCTGCGGCGCATTATTCAGTTATTGTTACCGGTACTTGTGCAATGTGAAACGCTTTGTCTCAGATTTTGTACAAAAAATAAAATTTCCCCATAAAATACGACTTATATATATTTTTTTCTTCTTCATTATACATTTAATGGCTGGTGCAAAAGGGTGAGCAAAAGTCTCTCTGTTTAAACGAGGACACACAAATTACTATTATTGATATAAACAACAAAATTACCACTCAGGTTTCAGAACTAAGAAAATACCATGCAGGTAACAAAAGTAGGACCACTAAGGTGTCAAAAACGAACGAACCACTCAGGTAACAAAACGGAGACTTTAACGTCTAGAATGCGAGGAGAGCTAAAGAGGAGATCAAACACCTCCGTGCCAACACCCATCTGAAAATCTCTCCCAGAATGACAGGAAGCGTTCCCTTTTAACAGGAAGGCATAATTAATCTAACAGCCTGCAGCTGTGCAGGCAGAGGGCCAAGGGCCTCTTGTGGCCAAAAGTGACGGTGTCTGTCACACTCCCCCCCTCAAAACAACAACTAAAAGGTAAACAAAATGACCATAGTTGTTGCAACTGAACGAACTAATGAGAACTTCCGCTATCTAAACAACAAAAGAAAAAACTAACTAACTAACCCCTAGATCTCAAAAGGCGGGCAGACTAAACACAAAATTATCGCGCGGCACTGATCGCCAGCGCCGCGGAGTGTTCCCGAGATGTCTGAATGAACAGACAACACAAGCCTTATAAGAGGTCTTACAACCTAAAATCTACAAGGGAGCCTCAATTGTAAAACTGCGGTAAAGGGCGTCAGCCATGAGGTTTTCTGTCCCTTTCTTGTGGCGGATGTCCAAGTTGAATTCTTGGAGGAGGAGGGCCCATCTCATCAAGCGTTGATTGTGGTTATACATTCGGTGGAGGAAGGTCAGCGGATTATGATCTGTGAAGACAATGGTGGTGAATTTATTGTTGCCAACATAAACAGAAAAATGTTGCAGGGACCATATGAGGGCTAGGGTCTCCTTCTCTATGGTGGAATAATAGCGTTGTACAAAGTTAAACTTCCTTGAGAAGTAGCAGATGGGGTGATCAAGTCCACCAGCGTCCTCCTGGAGAAGCACAGCTCCAGCTCCAGCATCAGAGGCATCGACCTCAAGCTTGAAAGGTCGAGAAAGGTCAGGAGCTGTAAGAGCTGGAGCACAACAGAGTAGGTCACACAGAGCAAGGAAACCAGGTTACATTCAGGGGTCCAAGAATAGGGGATGTTGGTGTTTAACAAAAGTAGTAGAACCAAAGTATAGTAAAGTAAAGTTGTAGAACTACTTGTAGACTCAGAATCACCACAAGCTAGGGCAAAGAAGGGTTTCAGAGTTTCATCCAAATTTTGAGCTTCCACTAGAGCATCACAGGTTATGGGGAAGTTCTCAGGAGTAACCTGAGGCGACACACGAATGGCAGAATCTGGGCGTTTACCAGAATCCGAGAAGTTTGTTCAGAACGGAATCTTGGAGGGTTATATCTAGATCCCTCTTTGCTTGAGCTCGAGTTAAAACACATGCAGGCAAAATGTCGGTACTCTCTTGCACCTCTGGTTCTGTGATGAGCTCAGGAACAGGCACAACCAAACCTCTTGCGGCATCATTTCCAAGGATAAGATCCACTCCTTTTGTCGGCAGATCATTCAACACAGCCACAAATAAATCACCAGAAACTAAAGGACAATACAGATTAATCTTATGCATTACTGCAGTAACAGTTCCCATTTCAATGCCTTGTAGAAGTACAGAGTAGCCAGCGCGGCTCATGTCAGAAAAAGACAAGACGCTCCTTTTAATTAGTGTTTGTGAAACTCTGGTGTCTCTTAGAATCACCACTTTTTCATCCGTCTCAGAACCCGGAAGTGATACACGTCCCCCTGACAGAAATGGTTTGTAGCAGGGATTTGGTGTATTTACGTTTATCCCAGCACAGGGTTTTGACGAACAAAGAGCCACTTCTGGACTTCTGGTTGGGTTTTTCTGGGCGAGGCTCCATTTCTTCAGTTTTTCTGCTTTAGGGCATAACAGTCCCGAATTACATGGCCATGCTTGTGGCAGTAAAAACACTCGGAACTCTCAGTAACTGGGCGAAGTTTAGGAAGTGGTTTGACCACTCGCACAGGCTCTGACCGAGTTTCTTTGACTCGATGAGTGAGCGAAAATTGGTCAGCGAGTAGAGCAGCTTCGGAGAAGGCAGTAACTCTGGTATGCCTTTTTTCCCTCCCCCCAACTTATCCTCATGTAATTCCTTTTCATCTATTAAGGTAGCGCGACTCGCGTTGCGAATGACCGCAGTCACCAATTCTTGTCATGTGTCTTGCCCATGTATGTCTGATCTCTGAATTGTGTGTACTGAAACTCTATTTCGTTTCTCTGTATGTCTTGCACATGTGGTAGAAATGACAATAACTGCTTCTTCTTCTTCTTCTAACCTTCTGCTCATTTAATTAATGGACTAATCTCTCCAGGACATGTCGTTTAAATTCTTCTAACAGAATTAGTTCTTTGAGCTCAGCTAACGAAGTAACATGAGAAGCCACACACCATTTCTCGAACAAAACAGACTTGTTATGAGCGTACTCGACATAAGACTGATTGTCTCGCGGTGTTTCGGAGTGGAACCATTTCCTGTAGGCTTCCGGTACGAATTCGTATGCGTGCAAAACAGTAGACTTTACTGTATCATAATTTGCACTGTCTGAGACAAAGCAGACACCACCTGAAGAGCCTTACCTGTCAACTTACAGGTCAAAAGTAAAGGCCAGACATCGCGAGGCCACCGGAGTATTGCAGCCATGCTCTCGAAAGCAAGGAAGTACCCATGCACTTTAGTCTCTCGAAAGGGAGGCAGGAGCGTGAGGCATTTGCTGATGTTGAATGGTGGTGTAGAAGATGTAGGAGTAAGTGGAGTCTCTGGTTGTGGTTGGACATCCCCAAGGGGAGACAAAATGGCGGCGTCTGAGTCCTCGGCTGGTTGAACAGTCCGAACAGCGGCAGGATCGAGCTTCCTGCTCTGTAGTGTGAGCTCAAGTTCTCGCAGTCGAATATCAGCGTCCAGTCTTTTAAGTTCGATCTCATGTCGGAGCTTTCTTTCCAGAGCGCGTTCCTCGGCCTCAATGTGCAAACAAGCCAGTCGGCGTTTCAGGCGAGCTCCGGTTAGCGGAGACGATGAAGGGCTCTAATGAGGCGAAGAGGACTCTGAGGAGCAGGCTTCTTCTGGCTTCTCCATTCCCTCTTTGTCGTGGGTCACCGGCTGTGACGGTGGGCGTGACACAGGTCCGGAAGGCGGCAGAAGGATCTCTTGTGCAACCAAGAAATCCAAGACGAACTGACGTAAGGCGTCTTTTGTCAGCTGCTTGGGGACGAGCAGGCTGAAGTGGACGGCAACCTGCTGCAGGTCGGATTTTCTGCAATTCTCCAGCAGCTGGCGTGATGGAGCCTCCACAAATGCCTGCATGTCAAAGGTAGACATGATCTCTGCTTCACCTCTAAGAGAACAAAATAAAAGGTTAGTTTCAAACACAGTACAAATGAAAATTACGGGTAAAAATGTTATAAATAACAAAAGAGTGAGTACAAGAGAGGGCTCAGCGCACACCCCTGTGGAGCACCAGTGTTCAGTGTGATGGGGGATGAGGTGGTGCTGCCCAGTCTGGCCACCTGGCGTCTGTCAGACAGAAAGTTAAGGATCCAGCTGCAGAGGGAGCTGCTCAGTCCTAGATCCTGCAGTGTCCTGTCCAGCTTCGAGGGAACGATGGTGTTGAATGCTGAGCTGTAATCTACAAACAGCATTCTCACATACGTGTCTCTCTTCTCCAGGTGTGACAGGGCAGCATGGAGTGTCAGGGCTATAGCATCATCAGTGGAGCTGTTGTGGCGGTATGCAAACTGTAGAGGGTCCAGTGAATCGGGTAGCGCAGAGCAGATGAAGTCCCTGACCAACTTCTCGAAGCATTTGCTCACGATGGGGGTCAGGGCTACAGGTCACCAGTCGTTCAATGAGGAGATGGTGGAGGATTTGTGTACAGGAACAATGGAGGCCATTTTGAAGCAGGCTGGGACTACAGACAGAGAGAGGGAAAGGCTGAAGATGTGTGTAAACACTCCAGCCAGCTCAGCCGCGCATGACCTGAGGACGCGGCCGGGAATCCCGTCCGGACCAGTAGCTTTGCGTGCGTTCACCCTCCTGAAGCACCTCTGCACATCCTCCTCAGACACAGTGTGCCGCTGACGTCATCCGCAGTGTGCTCACTATCCGGTCTCATGGTGTTCTCTGTGTCGAATCTGGCGTAGAAAACGTTTAGATCCTCACACAGAGAGGCCGTGGTCTGCGGTGTGCTGGTTTTCCCTCTAAAGTCTGTGATTGTATTTAGTCCCTGCCACATACTCCAGGGGTTGTCAAACTGTTGCTCCACCCTGTCCCTGTATTCACGTTTGGCTGCTTTGATCGTCTTCCGGAGTTGGTAATGTGCGTGTTTGTAGTCCGATGTGTTCGCGGAGGCAAAGGCGGTGTTCGCCGTTCGAACACCTCCATTAATCCAGGGTTTTTGATTTGGGAAGGATTTAACTGTTCTGGATGGGACAACATCTTCCACACATTTTCTGATAAATCCGCAGACTGAGTCTGTGTACTCATCAATGTCCTTAGCAGCGGCGTGAAACATTTCCCAGTCCACGCGATCAAAACAGTCCCGCAGCGTAAATGGAGGCTGAGGCAGGGTCAGGAGGAAGCATGGGTCAAAACCAGAGAGATCCGTGAATGCTACAAGGGGCAGGCAGGAAGCAGAATCCAGAGAATGGTCCGAAGGTCGAGAATCCATGGGGTCAGAAGCAGAGAACAATCCAGGCAGGGAGCAGGCATGTGGGCAGGTAGAGATACAGGAACAAGGTCAGGATCTATGATTCAGGCAGAGGTAAGGAGTGCTGGAGAATTTACTGGCGTGAGCTTTAATAATCTGGCCCTGAATGACTGGATGGCTGGTTCTTTTGTACTTCTTTTGTTCTTCCGGGACACCCGCCGATGCAGGGTGTGATGCGTCCTCCGGGACCACCTCCGAAGTAGGATGCGATGCGTCCTCCGGGACACCCGCCGATGCAGGATGCGATGCGTCCTCCGGGACACCCGCCGATGCAGGATGCCATGCGTCCTCCGGGAACACCCGCCAATGCACGATGCGATGCGTCCTCCGGGACCACCGCCGAAGCAGGATGCGATGCGTCCTCCGAGACACCCGCTGATGCAGGATGCAATGCGTCTTCCGGGACACCTGCCGATGCAGGGTGCGATGCGTCCTCCGGGACACCCGCCGATGCAGGATGCGATGCGTCCTCTGGGACACCCGCCGAAGCAGGATGTGATGCGTCCTCCGGGACCACCGCAGAAGCAGGATGCGATGCATCCTCCGGGACCACCGCCGGGACAGGATGCGGTGCGACCTTCGGGACCACCGCTGGGAGAGGCGGAGCCTCTTCAAAAGGCAGAAGTAGGAACCCCACTGAGCGTGGATGCGGTGAGACTCCTGGGACCACCGTTGGACGTGGACGCGGTGTGTCTCCTGGGACCACCGCTGGACATGGACGCGGTGTGCCTCCTGGGACCACCGCCGGACGTGGACGTGGTGCGCCTCCTCGGACCACCGCTGGACGTGGATGTGGTGCACCTCCTGGGACCACCGCTGGACATGGACGAAACAGAGGGATTTGAGGCTTGAGCGGCGTGACTGCTAAACCTTGGATCCGGGCACCGGTCACCTGACGAGTCTGTTTGCTGGTTCGGAGTAGATCCATGGCCATCCTGGTCTCCAAAACCAAGATGCTGCGTTCTACTATGAGTCGCTGCTCCTGTGTTGGTGTCGAGTCCATGTTGTGGCCAGATTATTCTGTCATGAACAGAACTCAGAAGGACCCGTAATGACACCAAACACTGTAAAGCACCTTTAAAAGTCTTTATTTGATCTGGATTTACCAGTGGTGGGCGAGGCTGAGGTAGGTATCAGGAGGAAGCATGGGTCAAAACCAGAGAGATCCGTGAATGCTACAGGAGGCAGGCAGGAAGCAGAATCCAGAGAATGGTCCGAAGGTCGAGAATCCATGGGGTCAGAAGCAGAGAACAAAGGCAGGGAGCAGGCACGTGGGCAGGTAGAGATAGAGGAACAAGGTCAGGATCTATGATTCAGGCAGAGGTAAGGAGTGCTGGAGAATTCACTGGCGTGAGCTTTAATAATCTGGCCCTGAATGACTGGATGGCTGGTTCTTTTGTAGCAGGGGAAACAGGTGTGAGTGATGAGCTGAGGAGTCAGAAACAGGTGAAGTGGATGAAGCTGATTGTGGTAGTCAGGGAAACAGGGCTTGGCTGGGGTTTGATGATGAGATCAGGTGTGCTGCATGAATGGTGAGGAGGGTGAAGGATTGGGAGTCATGACAGACCCCCCCCCCCCCAACAATTTATTTTTACTCAGTAATGGATATGATTTAAAATGTAGCTAATTACTATTCTTTTTTTAAAACGTTTTCAAGTAAAAGTACAGATTTTAAAAACGACAAAATGTATAAATACACAAAAAATCTACTCAATTACAGTAACGTGAGTAAATGTAATTTGTTACTTTCCACCTCTGGTTTTTCCTATTACACATTCAAGCTAGTTTTTGGTGGGGCGTGTTTTAGCCTTAAATTACATGAAAAAAATAATTTGCGGTATTAGATCTTATATAAAAAACAAACCAAAAATGCCCAAACACGTATTTTATTGTTTTGACCGCTATTTTTTTTTTAAACAAACTTACATTTTCAGCTGTACTGCTCTCCCGCTCTGTCCGCCATTGTTATGAGTGTCGAGTCCAACGGCTGGCGTGCAAAGCATGCTGGGATACCCTTGGTCCTGTGAGGATCCACCAGACCCATCCTCAAAATGTGGGTGGAGCGAGGAGGCATATGAGGACGCGAGAATGAGTATTCTGGGAATTCGGACAGTACTCGTCGCTGCGCTGTGACATCATCGACCTCAAAATGCGCTCTCACAAACATCCTTCCTCTGGATTCTATGTCCCGACCATGTCGACGCACCCCCCCCCCCCCCCCCCCCACATCGGGGCATGGCTCTATATATATATATATATATATATATATATATATATATATATATATATATATATATATATATATATATATATATATATATATATATATATATATATATATATATATATATATCAGATGTCAAGCTAAACAGACAGGGTTAAAAAAATTCCCCATCACTTTCATTTTTTAAATAGTAATTAATAAACATTCGATACCATTAGAATTTCCTTTGATTTCATTTTAAATAAATATTTAGAGTGCCCAGGTAGCACATAAACAATGCAATTTAACTGTTTTCTTAAAGTAGGAACGTTTAACCTGTGCGGCCAGAGCGCTCTCCTTCTTTCTGCTCTGCGTAAACCTGAGCTGATCACCTACTTGTGTGTAATCAAATGTCAATAGGGGACAAGATATAGCCATGATGTTCACTTTTACCTCAGACCGACTTATTGCTGTTTTTTGGTGTGGCTGAATCTGCGATCCGCTGTCATGCGGACCGGAAAAACAAATGCTGCAGTAACATGAGATGTGGTCAGGTTCATGAGGAGTCACTGGCTGGAGCGGATCCGACTCATCCCAGAAGCTAATATCTTAATTTGACCTTGAATGAAAAATAACCTCTTAAAAGTTTTTATCGTGGTGGAGGCAGCGTTCATTTCTGCCTTCAGTCTGACAGCGGGCCAGAGTTAAAGCAGCGTGTGCGCTTATTGAATCTGTGTGTGTGTGTGTGTGTGTGCGCGCGCGGCACAGCCGCTCAAGTCACCGCGTCTCGCGCTATTTAAACCAGTGTTGTAAAATGACTTCTGCCCAGCCCAGATGTGCTCACTTGTGCACCCAAGAGCCGTGGTTCCGCTGGAACGCGTCTGACCTCTGACAGACGCACTCTGAACTTCAGATCGTCAGCGCGCTGTTAATAGCCTGAATGGGAATCATTTCTTGTTATTTTGTTACATACACAATGTTCTGTGTGTGAGGTTTACAACGTCAGAACACCTGCATGAGACAGGTGTTAATTACAATCTGCCAGAATGACTCGCCACCTTCAGATTCCTCCAACACCGTTAAAAATGATCAAATACGGAGCATATCGGCGTGCGCAGGCCAGAGTGCTGAAGCTCCGCGCATTGTTATTATGAAGCTAGGGCACATGTGGAGGACACGCACGCGCGCGACGGAGCATATTGGCGTGCTCAGGCCAGAGTGCTGAAGCTCGGCGCATTGTTATTATTATGAAGCTAAGGCACATGTGGAGGACACGCACGCGCGCGACGGAACATATCGGCGTGCGCAGGCCAGAGTGCTGAAGCTCGGCGTATTGTTATTATTATGAAGTTAGGGCACATGTGGAGGACACGCACGCGCGCGACGGAACATATCGGCGTGCGCAGGCCAGAGTGCTGAAGCTCGGCGCATTGTTATTATGAAGTTAGGGCACATGTGGAGGACACGCACGCGCACGACGGAACATATCGGCGTGCGCAGGCCAGAGCGCTGAAGCTCGGCGCATTGTTATTATGAAGCTGGGGCACATGTGGAGGACACGCGCGCGCAAAAATATACTTGTTTTCAATTACATTTGTTGTGCCCACTTACTTTTTCTTTGGCCCACCCACAAATGAGTTTCTACGCTAATGGTGACATATGACAGACTTCTCTGAGCTCCGCAGCCATTACACTTTTCACCTCGCGCACCCCCTAGCGGCAGCTCGCGCACCCCCAGGGGTGCGCGCACCACACTTTGGGAATCCCTGGCGTACGCAATCTGGATGCAGTATCGCTCTGCGGTTGTTCTCGGCTGACAGCGTTTACCGAGCAAGTCAAGCTACGGCAGGTGCTAACGAGAATTCCGACTAAGAATAGCGCGGATCCTGCGCTCATCGAATGGAAATAAATTTCCGACGGAGTCTTCTGTCTCCGATTACACAAATGGATGCACACAGTGTCACAAACACTGCGACAAACAATAAACAGACGGTTCCAACGTATTAAAACAGGAGAAATGTTTACACTTAGATGTAGGCCTCAAAATGGCCGCCAGCACACGTCAGCACTTAAGGGCTGTGTCTCAATTCAGGGTCTGCATCCTTCGAAGGACCCAGCCCACCCGGCCGACGTGGGCTGCGTCCTCCGTCGGCCGGGTAGACCGGATGTTAACGGCTGTGAATTTGGACAGGCCTAGCCTTCATGAACTCCCTCGGCGAACGTTCCGTCGCCTAGCAACCGTGGAACCGCTGGGCAGAAGGAACCTTAAACGATGGAGCTCGACGTTTTATTTAGCTTTTTAACCCCCAGAAACCCAAATTTAGAAAACAACTGCAAAATATTTTTTAACCTTTCACATGTTGTTCTAGGAGGCCAGATAAACGGGCCTATTTACACATTTTAACAGCCAATAGTGTTGCAGAACTGAATAGGACCTATTAGCAATGTAAATGTGGTTTTAAAAAGAAAAAAAATGGGGAAGGTTTATTTTTGTAGACTTAAATCTGATGTTGTAATGTTACAACCGTGGGTCTCAAGGGGTTAATCATTTCCTTGACTGTTGGAGAGCTAATTCAGAGAAAATACTTTAGACTAGCTGAGCCTGAGCAAAGATGTGATAATAGTTTTTAATACTTAAGGGTCTTAATTTGACCAAAACCGATTTATCACCTTTTAAGACTTTTCAAGACCCAGCGGATACCCTCTAGTAAACAATTCTCATTTGTAAACAAAAATAAAATTCAAGAGTTTAATGCAGAACTGATTTTATTTAGATATTTCTTTTATATGTACATGTTTAATCTTCATTAACCATTTTTTTCTAGCAAAGTAAAAAGCTGTCAAAGTTCTTCCTTCTCTCCTGTGCTCTCTGCTGCTCTGCAGCCTCATGTCCTCCCAGATCAGCTCCAGAAGCTCATCGCTGGCACCTTCCCCTGGATGCCCATTTTCTCCAGAATAGTCTTAACAAACATGTAAGAAAAGAAACAGGAAGAGAAAAGAGGACAACGGGTTATTCCTTTCATGTTTTCGCAGAAAAAAATATACTCAAACGAGTTTTTAAAATATGAGATGTTATTGTACCTCCATGCCACAGCCGCCGAATACTTTGCTCCGGTGATCATGTGGTCCATCTCCGCCCTAAGCTTAATAAATTCCCTGGTTTTCTCTTTTGGTCCTAAAATACAAACTTCTATTAAAATCAGGGGGAAACGTAGTGGGAGAAGTACGACACCGAGCGCGGCCGAACATACGAGCCGAGACCGCAATACAAGCACTTTTACTGTAACATTTCTAACTAAAATAACGTTCATGTATCACAAAAAGTCCTTAAACTGACAGTTTTCAAGTTTATACTTACATTTATATGCGCAATCCTCTCCGACAGCTCCCGCTTCACTGTCCGCCATTGTTTTTAAGTTTTTCTGCCAGCCGGCCCGCAAGGCATCTTGGGAAATGCTACCTATTGAAGGATACACCCGACCCATCCTTCATTCAGGCGAAAAGAAGGCCGCATTCGTCGACCGCATTTGAAGGAGTCTTCGAAATGGGACAGGCCGAGTCGCGGCGCTGTGACGTAACCGGCCGACGAATCCGGCCGAGGTAGGATGCAGACCCTGAATTGAGACACAGCCAAGGTGTTTTGATGAAACAGCGCCTCCTGTCGGAGGGTGATGAATGTGCACCCCCCTTTCTGAGAGCTGAATGAGGAAGCGCTCGCTTTTCTTTTCTCTAACACACAGACTGAACCAAAAATCCCAAATAAAATGTCTCAGAGTCGGCACAAAGTGTAATAAACTATGCAGATATCAAGCTAGGCTCGCCATATGTAATGGAATCAAAGTGATGTAACTATCTAAAGTTGTATTTTAATACACTGTAGGTAGTTCACTTTTTATAAACAGAAGAATAGGCTGTTTTTATCATCAGGGAGTTTAATTAAACACTCTGTATTGACTTTGAGACAAGAAAAGAGAGAGAGATGGGATCATTTGAGAATCTTTAATTTCTGAATTATAAATTCTAAACAATCTACCAGGACCAGTGTTGCCAACTCCGTGACTTTGTCACTGTTCCTAACGACTTTTTGACCCCCCTCAACGACTTTTTTTTCCAAAAAGCGCCTAGCGACAAACTTAGCGACATTTCTCAGGACCCGTTGCTACTTTCTGTAGAACTTTCATGTAGATATTCCCTACAGATTAGCAACAAAGAAACCGTTTGCACTCTGAACCGTTCTTCCGGGAGTAAGGAAAGAGAACGATAATCTGCGCATGTGCACGAGGACTGACCAATCATAAACCGTTTTCGGCCGGTCTGATTCGCTGAAGCTGCAGAGCTGGAGACCGCCGATTTACGTCTGCTGCTTTCATATTGCTGCAGGCTCACGCTTCTACTAGAGACGGCGCGGGCGTCAACCTGCCATCTCTGGTTCTGCAGCCGTCAGACACTTTGGTTTTTCCTGCATTTGGCAAATAAAGTCATCGGGAGTTTCAACTACCGTCCCGTTTACACACGCAGCTCTGTGGCTCATCTGAATTTCCTTCAGTGACACAGGGATGGTTATACTATGAGACACCCGCTCCCTTTTGCTCGGAGCGCCGTTATTATCACGATGGAGAGAATACATAACAGAGAAGTTGAGAAACTATGAGGTGTAAAAAAACAGCTTTTTAGGAAAATGTCTGTGAGAATGAGGAGAGCAGGAGGTCTGAGTTATATCCTACAACAGAACTGTTTGGATCACCACACCATATCTGTTTTAATGCCACTTTATTGGTAGTTTTGGAATTTATTGTACATATCAAAGCAATTTGGGCCATTTTAATCATACTAATTAATAACTTTAACATATAACATAGTATTTATTTTCCTCCCTTTTAGTCCTATTTTATATATATATATATATATATATATATATATATATATATATATATATATATTAGATGCCATAGGGAAAACGAACGCTAATGTTGCGTGATGACGTCATCAATATGTAAATAAGCACGTGCCGTCATCTGGCGACATCTAGTGACTTTTGGGGGGAACTTCAGCTACTTTCAGTCAAAAACAGTTGGCAACACTGACCAGGACTAACTCTGTGATGGATGAAAATGGATTCGGATGTTGTGTTGGTGCGTGTGTGTGTGTGTGTGTGTGTGTGTGTGTGTGTGTGTGTCTGGTTCAGACTCTCTAGGCTGACGTCACTGAATCTGGTCGTCTTTGTTATGACTAGATATCACGAGGCTTATAAAGTGATGACATGAGCCGCTATTTTGCCGTGTACGTACCCAGTGGGGGGTCTCCCAGGTAGATCAGGAAATGCCAGGTCTGGAGACCTCGGATGTACGCTGGAGCTGTCGGTGCAGCGGTCACAACGTTTCAAAGCCCGTCTGGAGGGTCGACCCCGGTACCATTCGGCGGCGCGTCAGCAGGTGCTCTTATTTTGAAAAGGATGTCGTCTGGTTGTTAAACGACGAAAATCTCCCGCTTCACAGTTCTTAGTTTAAAGAAGAAAACACATCTGGCCAGGCTGCGCTTTTCTTTAGGATGGCGTGACTAGAACTGAAGTCAAAATGGAACTGCCTTAAAATGGCGTTGCCTTGTTTTATATCTCTTAATTGTTGATAAGTTGTAGTAAAGTGGATTGGACACTTGAAGTCAACACCAGATTCTCCTGCGGCAGCCGAAAGCTCTGATTGGTTGGAACAATGTGTCACGCGTTTCTATGGAGATGAGGATCAGTATGTCTGTGCCGTAGTCCTGTTTTCATTAAACATAATTCATGACATATTTATTTCACAGATCATTCACTTGATTATTGTTGATCAACATCTGTTTTGCTTAATAATTTTAAACACAAATAAAGTACTTTGATTAAGTAAAGTTTCTTCTTCTCCTTCGGACTCTTCTCCTGGAATGTAAACAGTCTGAGGAACACCCGACCTTGGTTTTTCTACACGGTGTTATTGTGCACAGGGGGCAGCTGTATGGAGTTGAAAACAATGAACTTCATAACCTTACAGTAGGGAGCAACACAGAAATCGCAGAGTCTGACTCTCCGTTTGTTATCAGATAGGAGGTAGCCAACACAATTGGGGACAGAGGTAAGAAAAGTCTTTGGTATGGTAAATCTTGCTCTGGCCTGAGGGCCATAGTTACATGCAGCTTTGATAAGGCCATTTCATCTCTAGAGCCCCCTTCAGACAGGCCATGAAAAACGGAAATGTTCCGGAATATGTCCGTAAGACCTTTCTGTCTGAATACAAACATCCGGATAACGTGTTCCGGAATTTATCCGGACGAAGCCCCTAGTAACAGGTCCGGACTTGTTACGGACAGGGTGGCTGCTTCAGACTGGTGGGGTAAAGTTCCGTACAAGGGGGAGGGGGAGGAGGTGGGGACCGGGGGACGCTGTGCGCACCCAGATAGCCCACTGCTGTAGCATGCGGCGAACCACGGCAGTTCGCCTCCTACGGTACCGTCTAGACGCGCGACGGAGCGCTTCACACCGCTTCAGTGATTCCTTTAACCATTGAGCTTCATCATCCAGGTCTCTTATGCGTCTTCGTGTGCGCAGAATTATGCTTAAGCGCCTCGTGATTTTTATCTTGAGAGGCGCAATAGAAATGATATTTTCTTCTTCTTCTTCTTAACATAAGTCCGATTCCCCCCCCACCCCCACCGGCCGCCGCCGTCAGACATCTGGAACTTTTCCCTGCTGTGTGAACGCAGCCGACAGGACAAGTTCCGGTACAAAAGTGGTGTGTCTGAAAACATAGTTCCGGTTAAAAACCTGATTGAATTGTCCGCAAATGTTCCAGAATGTCTGTCTGAAAAGGGCTTAGCTGTGTTGTTCAATACTGGACGCAATGTTTTCATAATAAGCTCTGTTTCCACTAGATTTGCTTCAACGGAGACTTGCAACGAATAATATACGCCTGTAGGGTCATGGAGATAACAGCAATCCTCAGCCACCCGAATAGCTCTCATGCCATCTTTTATGGGGACAATAGAGATTTTTAGCATTGACATGAGGTCTCTGCCCAACAGATTTAGCGGGCAGTCTGGCGCTATGACCAGAGAGATTTTTCTTTCCAATCCTGTCACTGGGTCATCCACCAAAACCGGCTCAGACAGAGATGAGCGAGTGATTTGTCCATCAGCAGTTTTGACCAATATGCTATTCCGAGATCTGGGTAATTTCACATCTGACGACGATATCACGGAGCGGCATGCACCAGAATCACAAAGGAACTCAACTTTCTGTCCTTGAACATTAATTGTGATAAATGGCTTTTCTTTCAAGACATTAAGTAATTCCCAAGCTCCACAGCAATCAACCACATCATTGTCCTCTGTCCAGGCCTCAGAATCTGCCACTAGTCATTGCTGATAGTCATCTCGTCGCTCCCGTCTGAATCGGGTGTGATCTGGTTGGGGATTGATAGGCTCACGACTAGGTCGGCTCCCCTGTGATTGGAAACCTCTGCCTCTTCTGGGACCCTTATTGGGCTTTCTGTTATCTGGGCCATCTGACTGGGAAGGACAGTCACGTGACATGTGACCTCGACCTCCACAAATCCAACAAATGAGTGGCTGTGAGCGGTCTGGTGAAGACCACTGTCTCTGGTTGCTGTTACGACCACCCCCCTGACGATTAAAGTTACCCCTGTTGCTACCTTGCCGATAATACACAGCTCCTTCCTCAGTGTTATAAGTTTCTTCTAGGCATAGGCGTCATTTTAACCGGGGACGCCGGGGACATGTCCCCGGCAAAATTCGTGATCGGCAGCTGTGTCCCCCCCCACTTTCAAAAAAGCCTGCTGATGAGGATTTTTGTTTTACCTGCTCAGATCTTATACCAGGGGTCGGTAACCTGTTCCCATCAAAGAGCCATTATTACCCATTTCCCACGGTAAAGAAAACACCGCAGCAGCCGCAGCGTTGCGGGCGGGGCCTACCCTCAGACAGCAGAGCGCTGCTCACAACAGGTGACAGCAGCCGGGGGCATCGCACCCGTGGGGGATTCAACACCCACACTTTTCCAGCTGTTTTGCTCACCTCCACACCAGTCTGGTTTCTTTACGTCGCACTCACTCTGTTTGCCTCATCTCCTTCTTCAACTCCCAGCCGATGTCGGGTTTCCAGGAGAGCAGGAGAGGGAGGGACGGAAGAGCTCGACTGAATTCATAATTTTACATCTTGAATTTAGCTGTACAAAGTCTGAGTTTGATAAAGTGAAGAACAACAATTTGCAGAGGTTTATAACTGGTGCGGCGCCAGGTTTTCATTTTTGGGTGGGCCACGGTAATTTTGGACGGACCTTAATAAGCAGTGACTTAAGTGAAGCAGGCAGGACGCGCTAGAAAATTTCGTTTAAAAAGACGTCATAAATGTTTTCCCCCGTCATTTTTATTTCTAAAATATGAAGTAAAAACTCACAATTTAATTTTCATTCATTTGTCATTAATATTTAGTCTACAACCGTGCGTTAAGTGGACCAACTTCCAGTAAACGCAAAGCATCCAGTCCACCTCTCCAAATGCGTAAAATGTGCATCAGCCGCTAGGCGTGCCGCGCGCACCATCAGCTGATCAGCCCAGACAAAAGCAGAGCAACTAGAGACAGAATAGAGGATAATTGTGTCTGGATGTGGATGGAGATTACATTTTACATCAGCCTGATCATCATTTAAATACGTAAACCATCACCTGTCTTCTATCCACGCTATCAGCATTATTTTAATTGGTGTGTGTGTGTGTGTGTGTGTGTGTGTGTGTGTGTGTGTGTGTGTGTGTGTGTGTGTGTGTGTGTTTTCCACTTCAAACACTGGTCTAACCAACCAGACCAGTGTGTCCAGTAACACATTAATGTTACAATTAAACTTGATTAACCCCAGAGCCGTGCGCACTGCACTGTACTGACTGTAAATGAGGGGGAAACTATTTAATCGGATCCTTTACTTTTCAACATGGTTTAATGTAAAGTTTCATTCAGTACAAACTTTAGTTACACCAATCTAACGAGACAGAGCCTAGATTTG